CTCACACTCCCCTTAACCCAGTCCTTCTCAAATAGTGGGGCGCGCCCACCTGGGGGGGGCCGGGGCAATGGCGGGGGGGGGGGGGGGGCATGTAACCCTTGAAAACATGCTTTTTTTTTGCCGCAGGGAGTAGTTTTTTTTTTTTTTTTTCACCATTCTCACTTTGTCGCATGCGTTCCTAATAAGTTATGAACAAATATGGCTGCCTTGTCATTTTGGGAGCGATAAATAAACTCCGACCATCACCTCCTTCCTCCCTCTGATGCTGTTTTTATGTCCACGCGCTCTGGACGTCACTCACAGCGCGCATGCAACAAAGAGTGAACACAAGGGAGAACGACACCTGCCCCCTCTTTCCTCTTTTGTGTTGACTAAATGTTTTAGTTTTATCAATGAGTTTGTCAAAGTACAATTAATACAGAAGTAATGTTTAATACATGTTATGACTTGATTATTTGCTAACAAAATTAATTCACCTCCTCAGTTAAGCTGCTGTTTTTTGATGCTCTGGACGCTTGTCACTCACAGCATGCAGGTGACAAAGAGTAACTCAAAGCAAGAGGGTTACCTGCCCCCTCTTTCTTCGTTCGCGTTGACAATTGTTTTTGTTTGTTTTATCGATGAATGTGCTCATTGATCCTGACTTCCTCATTTTGATTATTAAAAAATCAGCATAAATTGTTTAATTCATTTTTGTTTTGTAGGCCAAAGTGTTTTATATAACACTCCTGAGTTAAAATGTTGCTGATCAATTTGAATTTATTATTATTTGTTGATTATATTTTATTTTATTTTTCAGTATCAAATGGTACAAAATGTTTACAGTTTAAAAAATAATAGATTTTTTACAGGCAAATTGATACAGACTAAAAAAAAAACAATGCTAATTCTTCCTTGTATGTTCATCTATGTTCTCTTTTTCCCTTAAATGTTAATAAGGACACAGTGTTAGGTAGAGGTGTACTTATAACAATTTTATAGACATACTATTACAGTCGTCACGGAGAGTTGGGGGGGCACAAAATGTTTTCTTCTTCCTGGGGGGGGCATAGGAGAAAATAATTGAGAAGCACTGCCTTAACTCAACACCTTTGCTGGCCTCCCTCCTTTTGCCGGGAACCTAGGCACACACACTCACCCACTCCAAATGCATTGTATTATGTCATCTGTATGTTGCTTTTTTTGTGCTGAGTTTTTTTACAATCTCACACTGTGTCCTGTTATTATTATTATGTAAGATATATATTTTTTAACCTCCTCTTTCCTCGTGTTCCCTTTTCCTTATTTTATGAAAAAGGCAGCCCCTCTCATGAGGTTGCAGCCTCAGGCACCCCTTCTACCCATGTCTATGTTGTTTGGTTGTTTGTGTTTCTTTGGACGGGCTGAACTGAAATGAAATTGTGTTGTGCTTCTGTGCAAGGACAATAAATCTGATCCTGATACTAATTCTGATTTTCGCTGGTAGTATGATATGTGATTTTGTCCCCTCGTGTTTTAGTTCACAAGCTGAACTGCTCATGAGGAAGTTGTTGTTCTATCATCTTTCAATAAAAGTACTAAAGACAGAACAGTGCTGCATAAACAAATAAAGCAGCTTTAGCTGTAAAGCATTGAGGAAATATGACATAAATGCAAAACATTTACAATTACCAGACAAAATGAACTATTTGGTCAAAGAAAAACTAGATTAAATCCGAATTGGACCGATTAAAATGTTTCGTTTTAATTAAGCATATGCAGAGTTTTTATAACAACAACAAAAAATAAAAAACATTTTACCAGTAAAACATTTCCTCTTTGTGTGGATTCGTGTGTGTGAACTCCGTTTTCATTTCAAATATAAGAAAACTATGCACAGCAAGTGCTGAGATTAATTATTATTTCAAGCACACAGCTTCATTGCTCGCCCTTAATTAATCTGAACCTGAACGCTGAAAAAAAAAAGGATTTTGTCATTTCCCAGTATGTGTCAGCTTGTATGTGCTGTGAAGCTTGCATATTTCAGGATTATTTTTGTAAGTGAGATGTTTTTTTCTTTTTTCCTTCTTTAGCTGGGACAGAAGTTTTCTCTCAACGCCTCCACAGGGACAGAAAATGTGTTATATTTAACACAATGCTCTGAAACTATTTGCTGATCAAAATAGCAAAAAATAAAATAAAATTAAATTAAAAAATTGGGAACTCATTTATTATAAAGTAATCTAAATAATCCAATTAATACTCTATGGATCTGTTAAAAATAGGCTACAATGCTTCAAGCATTCCATCATCATCCCAGTCCCCAGTAAACGCACCATCAGGATTAATGATTACAGACCTGTTGCCCTCATGTCTGTGGTCATGAAATCCTTTGAGTGACTGATGTTGAAATGTCTGAAGAACATCACAGGTCCACTGCTGGACCCCCTGCAGTTTGCTTATGGAGCAGACAGGTCGGCAGCTGATGCAGTCAGTCTGGGACTACACTTCATCCTGCACCACCTCAACCACCCAGGGACCTACGTCAGGATCCTGTTTGTGGACTTCATCTCAGCTTTCAACACAATTGACCCAGACATCCTCCATCAGACGCTCACCCAGCCTCCACATGTCAGTGGATCTCCAGCTTCCTGATCTACCAGTAGCAGCAGGTGAGGCTGAGGAGCATCTTCTCACGCACAAGAAACATCATCACTGGCACACCCCAGGGATGTGTTCTCTCCCCACTCCTCTTATCTGTGTACACAAGTGACTGCACCTCACCAGACAGGTGTGTGAAACTTCTGAAGCTTGCAGATGACACCACTGTTATTGGTCTGACCCAGGACAATGACGAGTCTGCATACAGACATGAAGTGGGTCAATTAGTTCACTAGTGTGGTCAAAACCACCTGGAGCTCAACTTGCTCAAGACTGTAGCAATGACAGTGGACTTCCAGAGAAGCCCCCCACACACTGCCTCCCCTCACCATGCTCAACAACACAGTCTACTGTGGGTTACTTCTGGTTCCTAGGAATCACACTTTCTCGTGACCTGAGATGGTCCTCACACATAGACACTGTTTGGAAGAAGGCCCAGCAGAGACATTACTTCATGTGGCAACTCCAGATGAATAACCTACCAAAGGAGCTGCTGGTCATCTTCTCCATGACCATTATTCAGTCTGTTTTGTGCACATCACTGTGTGGTTTGACTTATCCACAAAACAGGACAAGTCTAGAGTGCAACGGACAATCAGGTCTGCAGAGAGGATCATGGGGGTTGACCTTCCCTCTATCCAGGACTTGTACAGGGTTAGGATCAGGAAAAGGGCTAGTAACATATCTGAAGGCCTCACACATACTGGACACAAACTATTTAGACTTTTACCTTCAGGTTGGTGCTACAGAGAGCTATTTGCAAAAAAACAGCCGGCACAGAGACAGTCTCATCCCCCAGGCAGTCTCTCTGATGAACTCAATAAACACTATGACTACAACCATGTGACACTGTCATATGGTAGTAGTCAGCTACTCTGCTGTGAAATAAAATAAGCATATGTGCACTACCACAACCTGCCTTCTTCTTTTCTTCTCCTTCAGTATATTAAAAAATGGCTGTACATGTACATACTGTTTATTTTATCCTCCAAGTTTATATAAGTTATGCACGATGTCTGTATGCTGTGAGTGCTTGAAATTGAAGTCAAATTCCTTGTCTGTGCACAAAACTTGGCAGATAAAAGTGATTCTGATTCATCTGTCAACACAAATGTACACTGCTTACAATTTCATCATAGTGGCTGATATAATACATGATAAAATAATTAGGGACATTTTAAAGCGAGATTTAGTTACAAAACTAGGCTTTTATCAAGCAAAACTGATCTAACTTGCTATAACAAACTGTTATATAATATTCTCTTTCACAGACTCCAACTTTCCTCAGAGAATTTGAAGGCTGTAAAGATCAAAATGGGTCCAAATAAAAATAAATGGTGACGAGCTTGTTGAACAACATGTTCTGATATTCTGTTTCATCAGAATTTGGATGTGAATACAGATCATAAGCAAAACATTGCGCAACGAACATTGGACAACTCAGGTAGGTGACCATTTGACAGGAGAAGGTGCCTTCTTAACTCGCCTGACAACCTTTATGTGCAACATACCACTGAATATGATGGAGAAAACTGGCTTTTGTGAATTAATGGACAGATTTTTAATAATTTAATTGATTACATTGTTGATAAATTTCACTTATTGGGCAAATATTGCATTGTAGGAAAACCCCAAATGATGCATGTTCAAATTAACACATGCAAAGTTTAATATCAGTGCATTAATTTGCCATTTTATAAGCAACCAGTATTTTTTTCTTCATTCATTCAACCTTTATTTAGACAGGTAAATCCCATTGAGCCTCGAGGACTCATTTACAAGAGAGACCTGATTTCAACAAAGAAAGATGACAACAATGGACAACAGCGACAACAATAGACAGTTATAAAAAGGCATACAGATTTTTTTTTTCTTTTTACAAATAGGATGACAAAAAAGTAACAAAAACAGCAAGATTATAAGGCAAATGTAGAAAACTAAAAAAACAAAAGGATGTGTGAGAAGATTAGTTCAAGGTTCTGTTTGGGCAGTCCATTTTATGTGACTAATAAAAGGGACTATATTTAATACAATGTTTTACTACTACTGATGTATTTTAAAGTATATAATCGCAAATGGGAAAAAAAAAAAAGAATCACCTGATGATTCTCTGGTAATGTCTTTGGTTTGTCTGTGTTTAAAATAGTCAAAAAACCCTGAGATATGAGACAAATTATTCAGAGATGATTTACTCTTATCTTAAGGCATCTAATTTGAACACACAACAAAAATATGCGACATTTAGGGCTCTGAATCTGTAAAAAAAAACTCAATAAAATAATGTTAATGATCATCTTTTTAGGTCTAAATGCATTTGAAATTCTAAAAGGCTCTTCAAACGTTTGCATTGGGCTCAATAATTTGTCACATTCTGGACTCACCTGTCTCTGGGTCACACTGGTGTTCACAAAGATCCAGTAGCCGTCGTCCGCACAGCTCGTTGAGCCAAGGCCCACTGGCATTCTGCTGATAGTACAACAAGATCTGGGCTGGATTGAGCCAGTCTGAAGCATCCAACTGGCTCCCTTGCAGCAAAATGAACCTTGATCCTAACAAGGACAGAGGAAGGAAAAGTGTTGGAAAGAAACACAAGACATAAGAAAAAAACAGACAAGAAAGTGAGAGGTACAGAGAGTGCAGAAAAAATGCAGTCAACTGTAAAGTTTGAAAAAAAAAAGAAGTAGAATAGTTAAACCATGTTATGAAAATGTTTATTAATAGTTTTAGGAAATGACGAAGGACCTAACATATAATAGACCTTATAGCTAAAATTTGAAGACTTTGGGAGATTAAATAAACTGCTCTAAACAATTTTACCCCAGAAGTTGTATTTTAGATACAGTATGAGGGTGGAAATCACCTGAAAATAATATTGGAAAAAACAAACAAAAAAAAAACAAAACACCAGAACAAATATCTCAGGATTTGTTGAAGTTCATATCTGAGAGATTAAGCTGATATTCACCAGAGGAAATGTGATTCAGTTTTAGTGTTGCCACTTTAAAATAAGGCTCTTCTTATAGATGGCTAATACATATTTGACAAATACCTTATTAATTTCCCTATAAACACTTTATAAATCATTAATAACTGCTTATTATACATTAATTAAGGGTGTCAAAAAAAAAAAAAACTGACCAGTTTCTTGCCAAATAGTGAACCAAATCTGTCCACCTCTATATTTCATTTAGATTCGTTATATTGAACATTTCAAAATAAGTTACATCCTTGTAAGCACAATAAGCATTTGTAAACCTATTTGTTTAGCATATGATATCGGACTTTATCACTGCATTATAAGTGTCTACAACAAATATACCCTTTAAAAAAAATAAAATAAAAGGTTTACAAATGCTTATTGTGCTTACAGTCTGAAATGTTTAATATAGGTGAACATATTTGGCTCACTATTTGGCAAGAAACTGGTCAGTTTAGTCTCTCTGTTGCCCTTAATTAATGCATAATAAGCAGCTATTAATGATGTATAAAGTGTTTATAGAGGAATCAATAACGTATCTATAAACTATTTATTAGCCATCTATAAGGGGACCCTTATTGTAAAGTGGTACCTTCTGAACTAAGTAAAAAGAATAAAAATACCACTTTTACTTTGATTTATGATGGATTTTTATTAATCATAAATAGGGCAAACAAAAGTATCCAAGTTAGAAATGAGAGGTTGAATTTTATTTTATTGGTAACAAAATATGAAAAATCAAAAGTTGTAGATTTTAATATATAATGAACTATTACCTTATTTTTTTCTTCCCAAGTGTTGTTAACTAATTAATTAACACATTTATTTATGTATCTATTTATTTATGTATTGTCTTGTTAGGTTAATACAGTCAATTAATTACAAATTAATTTAAACACTTTTTTCATGTGATGTTCAGTCCTGTGAACTAAAAACTTCTCTCGGCTCATAAATTGCAGCCTCCCCACTGCAGGAGGGTGACTGACTACTAGCAGTGGACCAACCCCACTCACAGTCTGCACCACTCCAAAAAGAGGGGACAAAATGGAGTAAGTGGATATATCTAGGGGCTTAGCAGAGACTTTGACCACAGGTCATTGATTAGCTTGGAAAGAAGCTTAACGAGCAGCTTAAAGCTGGAGACACAAATTCCAAGAGGACAAAGTCTAAGCTAATGCCCCCCCCCCCCAAAAATGACTTTTTTTATTATCTTCCCAAACATGACTTTGTGGAGCGTTTAGATGATGTGAGTGAGTATACAAATAGTGCCTTAGCTGTGCAGGAATCGACTGTTAAAATGATGACCATTAAAATGTGATGTTCCCAACAGCAAAGTTACAAACCTAATTTTGTAGCTTTTCCCAACTGGGATAAAACAAAGTATCATATTTTCATGTTTAGACGCTTTTTTTCCCCAAGCAATCTACAGACACTAACGGGATTACTACACAATAATCTCCATGTGTGTTCTTTCAGTGGCCTTAGTGATGCGATGACATACTGTAGAACTAAATTCAAATATCAGATCAACACTTTGTCATAGCTAATAATGGTTGATAAATAACAGACACACTTTGTGTAGTGGAGCTGCAAAAACTTCAGCCATGGTTTTTCTGTCTTATTTATGTGATGTTTGAGTGAAGCTGAGGGAAAGACGAAAGCTGTTGAGCACCTGAGTACTGCTGCTGTAAGGGGAATAATGAATGTGTGAGTGTTTCTGTTTAATTTCCAAAATAAAATCCCCTCATTAAATGCATCACAGCTGAACGGTGCCAGACAGTTTACACTAAAAATCTAAGAGCTAAAAGCTCCACTGAATACTGGCGAAGGCTCGCGTTTAAACCTCAAACGCTGTTAACTACAGGCAGCGAGTCCAAAATTAAAAACCTAAAGATTTGTGAAGTGTTTCCTTTCTAGTTTGTGGCAATCTGGAAAAGAAGGCAAAATAAAACGAGAAAGTCAGAACATAAAAAAAGCATGAGCAGCACCTGTCACTCATTTGGAGTCGGGGGTCCATGGGCACCTGAGACAGCAGGTGTCAAAGTTGACACTGATATGCAGGCACTGTGTGATCAAGGCTGTTTTTAGTAAAAACGGTTTGAGCAAATATATCTGATGTACTAAACATTTGCAAACACCTCCACCAGGTTCTGCTCTGTGTGTTCTAAAGTGTGGAGCTCCTACTTTGATATATGATATTATCAAAGTAAAGGTCTTTGTTTCTGAAACATTTCAGAAGTACACACACATCATGTTTGTGTGTGTGTGTGTGTGTGTCCAACCACCCATATCTGTGTGTGTGTGAGAGAGTTCGCATGCACACACGTGCTTGGGTACCTTTGCCTGTAACTTTAGCATATTTCAAGAATCGCTCAGAGGTTTTCCATCAAACTTTTAGTATTGCATAAACTTGATTTAATGTGCCCCTACAACTGAATACCATTTGGACCAAATCTAATTCAAGATGGCTGCCTTAGCAAAGCAATTTCATTGGACACAACAATGTTTATTACCATACTTCTAGCCATATAAGTCACTTTTTTTGCATAAATGTGCATGCACTGCGACTTATATGGCGAAGCAACTATGTTTTTTCCCCATATTTATAACCCATTTTTTGGCTGAGATCTGACTATTTCATTCATTCTGACATGAAAAATATTAAACACTACCATTTTCAGCCACTAGAGGGTCCTAGACTAATATGGCAAACCAAGTTCTCATTAATAGGTAAACGTAGCTATTACTGAGTCACTTGACTTGCCATACTAAGCCACCTTCGTCTCGCTCTGGAACTCCTGGAACAAACATCAAATCAGCTGCATGTTGCCGCGCTGCACAGGCGAAATGCAGCTGATTTGACCATTAAAGTGCTTTTATTAAGGAAAGTTAAACTGAGACACACCTTCGCTATAATGTCAAGCAAACAAATAATTGTGTTTAAGTGTTAATCTTGTTAAGTTCTTGTTAAAGTCCCCCTGTGCACGCTCCCACAGCCGCCATTTGGCAGCCAGTCAATTTTCGGCACTATACCGGCCCATGTTTCCAGGTTGTCAGAAGTGATGCATAATAGATGCAACCTATATGGCAAAGCAACTTATTTATGGGTTTTATTTATTTATTTTTTCACTTTATTAGGCATTTTTGGACTGATGCGACTTATACGACAGTGCAATGTGTACGGCGGCAAGTACGCTACTCAGTTAAATTTTAGATACCACACTAAATTTCGGTATGGTAGTAGCTGAGACGCCCAAACTTGTAGTCTGAGTGCCAGCTGAGAGCTGCATTTTCAGTTTTGCTCTAAAGTACTGGAATAATAGTGAGTTTTTTTGTATTATTTATTAATGTTTTTAACAAAATATCCCACGAACCACTAAAATATTTTATTGAAACTTGTACAAATTTATCATTAGGTTGATATTAGCAGCTGATAACTTTTGAAGTCAACCCATATGAAGATGGTTATCATAGTCAACTGATCTAGGGAAACACAAGAATGGGTATTAACAAATTGAACAAATATTGAGATAAAAATAGGTGTGTAAGAAGCTGAGGTTCATCCTCCTTATTTAAAAAATAAACACAATTTTATATGAGATTGCATTCAAACGCTGGCAAAAAAAAATAAAAAAATAAGTAGTGGGCAACAAGCAAATCTTCCAGGAATGCTCAGCTTTTATGTTTATTTATTTTTATTTTATTTTTATATCTTTCTCTTTTTTTGTCCCTTAAGATGATTCATTTCAGGAGTCTGGCTTCACAGATCATTTCCTACTGGTGAAATGTATTGATTGTATTTTATTGATTTATTTTCATACTTACTTTCATCAAATGTTTGCGTTTGTCTTTGTTATGGTCTGGCAAAATAAAACTATTTCTGAATTCAAGTGAACTGTCTCCAATCATATGTGAATGCTAAAAATGAGCTTAAATGTGCAGTCTCTATGAAGCTTCACAGCAAAATGTGTTCTACTGGAACCTTATGTTCCTTCTCGGGCCCTGAGATCATCAGATCAGCTGCTTTTGACTGTTCCAAAAAAGAGAATGAAGCTCAGATGAGATCAGCCTTTTTCAGACGTGGGTCCCAAACTTTGGAACAACCTGCCCCCCCCCACATGCACCACGCCCCCCCCACCCGCCTCACGAGCCTAGCCCGCGACCCGGCCCCCCCAGACCGTCTGG